AGGGACGTAAGAAATTTAAAAATTACAATAAATCCAAAAAAATGCAAATAACATGTCAAATTGACCAGAATTTAATCCTCCACCTAAAAAAAATAAAAGCCCATTGACTGAACCTCTAATTTAACTTTAATTTTATTTTTAATAAAAATTGACAATTAATTAAATTACTTAATTAAAAATATTTAAAATTCCAAAAAATCCTAAACACTTGCATAAGCACTCCTAATTAAGCAATTTTAAAAATTCCAAAAATACTCAAACTTTGAAAAATCATAAGTAAATCCAGATGATTTCAAATTCACAAAACTTGAAAACATTCGACTCCATTAAGAGTATAGTATTTTCTAAAAATATCAAATTGTCGAAATTAAGTCAAAGTCAAAAGTCAACCCTTTTGTCAACCGTAGTTCAAATTTATGTCAAAATTTTAAAAAATCATAACTTAAAATAAAAAATTCCAAATTCAATAAACTTAATGTCTAATTAGGGTTTAATATTTAATAAAAATATCAAAAAAATTTAAATTAACATACTTTATGCATGTGCTAAAATGCTTAAGTTCCCCTTGAAATTAAAAGAGCGTGGCCAAGTGTAGGTGGTGATGTAATGTAATGCATATCTATAACTCCTTGGGATATACTTTATTTGTAATTGCTTAGGATAATCTTGCAAGAGAGTTTAGATTTTTTTTTTATTTCATTCCTAATGTAATTTAATTCAAAGTTAAGAGTTGTGAAAGTTGGCCTTTGAGTTGGGATATATAGATCCAAAGTTTGGGTTCTAAAGAGGAAAGAATATCCCTAAGGGGAGAATCATTTTCCATTTGGAAGCCCGAATTTGGATTCGTCTAATACTCGAGGAAAGAACAACATCCCTTAGAGGGAGAGTTATTGTTTTCACTTGGGTATCCAGATATTACTAATCCAAAGAGCTCGAAGAGAAGGATGAAGAAGCGAAGATGAAGAGTATCTCACTCAAAGCCACTTGCATATGTCCTAGGATTAGACTTCGGGTTTGTTGTTAGTGGTGCCTGACCACTTTTAATTTCTGTAAATTCTGGGTTGTAATATTAAAGGGTATTTGCCTATGACCATTCATTTATTTAATTAATTTGACTGATTTATTTATTTATTTATTTATTTTGTTTATGCCTAGAATTTTCTTCATTTCTTAGTTTTTGGCGATTTGCATGTCATCTTTTAATTTAGCCTGGATATGAACGGAGGCTCGTGAGGGCATAAATAAAAACTTTTTCTACTCAAAATTAAATAAAAATTTTTAGAATAACGTAGAAACTCTAACAACATAAGAAGTAAGTCCGGGACCGTCGGAAGTCTGCATAAACATTAATTATTCATCTTCCTTGTTAGGCACCTCCCCGCCTACGGGTTCTGACCTATGTTGCACCGATAAACCTATTTATGAAGGCGTGCTGTATTCGATACACCGATACACCGATACACCTCCGATACTCCACCGATACGTGTCGGATACGCCAAAGACATATCCAATTAAAATACTATTTAATTTCAAAAGGACACGCGTATCCGATACACGTGTCCGTTGAAAAACAAAATAAATCCGAAAAAAAGATGCATCGTATTTACTTCCGCGGCTGCGAGCAAAGTTCTCTCATTTCCGAGATGGATTTGAGTCTCTTGATGATATGAGAATATTAGAAATTACTAATCTTTCACTTGATGAGCCTGATTCCTCGAGACACCTTTCTCTCTCCTTGAGTGGGAAATTAAAATAAAAATAAAAACCTGAAATTGGAAACGGATACTCCCCTCTCCTATTCACTCTAGATAGCTCCCCAATTCAAGGGCCTTGAGTGGGAATTTAATCTCAGCTTTCTCTCCACCATTACTGCTAGATTACTTCCTCCAATTTCTCTACAATCTAGTCCACCGAGATCTGAAAATTCCCTTCAGAATTTTATTGAAAATCTGAGACTGTTTCCCCCTCTCCTCCAAATGTCTGTTTGCTGTCCTGCACCAGAGGAAGGCTGAAAACAGAGTTCCTTCTGGAGTGATCCTGCTGTCCTGTAGTGATCCTGCTGTCCAGAAGTTTGAGACGTCTTCATCATTGAATTCTGGCCCAATACCTCTGCAAAACTGCTGCTCCTTGAAGGCCAGATTGCTGTTCACAGATTTCTGCATGCATATCTACACATTATCTCTCAACCAAAAGGTTTCCATGGCCATCCAGAATTCCCTAGCTATTCCAGGTTGCTGTACAGATTATTGAGGCTAAGTGGATTGCTGATTTGAAGACCCATATTTGCAAGTCATCCAAGAAGCTGTCAAGCACCACCTACTTCCGATCCAACCAACAAAGCACCACCGGAACGTCGTATTACTTCATTCCTTGGGTGAAACTCTTTCCCTGACGCTCTTATCTTCCTAGTTTATTCTTCGTTTATGGTTATTAATGGATTCATGAAGATCATGTCAATTATTCTCCGCTATAACCTAGTAATAGGAAGAGTTGTGTGAGGGATCTTCTCATAGCGGCTAATCTCATTGTTAGTATTGGAATTTATTGTTGGAACGATCCATGTATGCAATGTCGGATTAAGTTGGCTATCTTTTTTGAACTTAACTTTTATTCATGTGATTTAACCAAAGCTAAGTGCCTTTTAATATTTATCTTATCGTTCAATTCCGCATAAGATCTTGCTTATTATTGCCTCTAAATCTAAGCGTGCAAACTTTCATTAAGAAAATCATTTTCGCATGGAATTGTTTCACATCAGTATACCTTGTACATTTTGCATTCAACACAGTGCAAAACACCTCCATCATTGCCCTCTAGACATGGGCCATAATGCTGAACCATTTAAACTGTGGTTTTTGTATGTCATTTCTCAGTGTTTCATGTCCCTCTTCGACGAAGCTTCTTCATATATTAGGCACCTTTAACATAACTTCCCATGTAGGGAACATCACACACTGTACAGTCACCTTTGAGTCCACCCAGGCCTTCCTACGAACCATCTTGAGCATAGAAGTTCATGAGGAGACAACACCCTCTATGGGCCAATAGGCCACTTCCTTTTGTCTCGATCATTCGCATCTACATTTGCCCTCAACAATAGCTCAAATGAAGATGTCTCTACCACCTTAACCTCACAAGTGGGTGTATCCAATTCACCCATTGGAAGTGGCGCTAAGAATAAATCACGTTGTTTGGCCTCCACACTAATTTCTTCTTTCCCTCCACTTGGACCTACTGAACTCACTCCATCAAACGTTCCACTTTTGCTTCCCAATCATTATCTGCGACAAGGTCCAGAGTACAATTTCCACCATGAGCCATAACCCTTTGGTCAGACATCTTCACGCTGCTCCACTAAGCCGACCACTCGATACTCTCTTTTTTATCTCTTAAGCTAAGAAATATCTCATATCAAAGGACTGCCCTCTAATCCTCTCCGAATCCACTAAGGAATGAATATTCAATCTAGTCTCAACTAGTTCAACCTCACATATCCAATTCAAACAAGCCAATTTCCTTGACACATGGACTTCCTATAGTTTTCCTTGAGCAATCGCCACAACATACACCCTCAAGAACCATGAGTTGGCCCATTTGGAGGGAGGGCCAATTTTGTTAATTCCACATCCAACATATGAAGCACTTCATGTATATATAATAACCAAAATCATGAACATTATGTTGGATTGTGCTTTTGTGAGTGTTGGATTGTGCCCTAAATGTGTCCCAACCTTTTTCCATAAGGGTCCATTTGGTTGCTTGTAAAGAGAAAACTTGTTTTGAACATGATAATTCATTTTAAACAATTTGCATATTAAAAATAATATCATTACATTAGGGAGTTTTAGAGGTTGAAATTTCCATTTTGATTTCTAAATACGTCCAACCAAAAGATGGAATCTAACAAATTTAATCATTTCTAGTGTGTGCATTCTTAAGGGAACATTTCGTAAGATGGTGATAAGACCTGCAATGCTTTATGGCATACATTGTTGGCCATTAAAAGAGAAGCATAATATTAAGTTAAGTGTTGTTGAGATGAGGATGCTCAGGTAAATGAGTGGATTTACTCTTAGAGATTGGATACGAAACGAGCATTCGTGACAATGTAGGAGTAGCTCCAGTCACAGATAAGATTAGAGAGAGTCGCCTTAGATGGTTTGGTCATGTAAAATAGTGGCCTTCTAATGACACTGTTAGGAGAGTAGATGTATTAAATTTTGCCTATGTTAAGAAAGATAGAGGTAGACCTAAAAAGACTTGGTTACAAAATATTAGAAATGACATTTCTTTATTAGATTTAAATGAGAATTTGATTCTTAACAGGACAATAGAGAAAAAGAATTCATGTAGCTGACCCCACATAGTGGGATAAAGGCTTGATGTTGTTGTTGTTGTCTAGTGTGCATTCTATCAACTAATTATCAAGTGGGACCCTAAGAAAACAATTACTTGCATCTAAAACATTCTAGAGAATATTTCTAGTGCGTGCTAGTAGAACATGTGCAATGTAGAATACAAGTATTCGTGCATCCTATATACTAATCATACAAAATGAATTTAAGATGGTTATCTTTCTACTATTAGCTACATTACTAAAAAAGATAATGCATCCAGGATTATAAGTTAATGGGAATTTATTGAATTTCTCTAAGTAAAAAAAATGTGAATTCATTCTATTTTTTGAAATGGGATAAAATAGGATAGCATTGCCTACAAATTCAAGGAAAGAGTAAACAAACACTTTTAAATTGTATTGGCCTACTTTTTGTATAAATGTAATAGAAGCAGGGAGAAGATAAAACATGTTTGTTTGGATTGGTATCACACAAGGGCTTATGTTCAAGTTCGGAAGTGGCTATGAGCATATTTGTACTTATAACCAATGTAAACATATAATCAAAAATATATTAAAAAAATAAACAATTCTTCCATTATGATTCAATACGTGAAAAATAATTTTCAAATTTTCCAAATAAGCCGATTGAAGAGCATCTTACCTGCTGCAATACCTCTCTTTGAGAACTTGCGCAATTTCTTTGGAGATTCTCCAGAACCATTAAATAAGTCATCATATTTTTGCAGTACACTATTCTTTTCCTCTAATAAGCCCAATAATTCGTATGCATCTACAACTTTCCGCACAATAGATTTTCTTGGAGGTTTACGGCCATATGACTCAATATCCTTGAAAAGCTAATCAAAATTCAATAGTAGTCAGTCGTATGATGAGAAATCCATGAATTCAGCCACAAAGAACTAGATCAGCAGCTTCTACTGAAACAACTTTAGGTTTATTAAGCAATATGTGTAAATAAGCCCTCAAATCTTAAGTTAAAGGTGAGAAACATTTAAATATGCAAAATCAAGATGTACCTTCACAAGCCTCTCTAGCATGTTATTGCGATAATAAATGGATAGCATAAGATCACAAAACCGCCAAGGCACTGAATGCAGATCATAGCTGATCTTCTTTACCCAAATAGTGTGGGCTTCTTCAGGCCTATTATCTTTTTCTAGAGCACATATTAACTGCTCATATGTACCCATTGTAGTTCCTTGACCTTTACTTAACATCCATTTTAAAACCTGAAAAGAAAAATAAATTATTTAAACTAGATGGCAACAAGTGAAGAAAATAAAGCAGAGAAAATGAATAATCATCTTCAGTCCTTCCCTAAAAATTTGGGATTGATTTTATGATCTTCTTGGTCATATATATATATATATATATATATAAAAGTACTATATGAGATGTTAATCAGAATTTATTCACAAAATCTAACCATTTATCTTTAGTTTAACATTTTTTCTTCCTTATTTAACATTAATTCTCTCTCCATCTTAGAAGTGCATCTTTTTTCCCTCAGTTTTATCAGAATGCTCAAACCACCTATCAATTTTTAATAATCTTATAACCTTATCTACAATATATGTTATATTGTATTATTTTGAACATCTCTTTTATGTAATCATTCTCACTCTATCCTACCTAGTTTTATTCAATCAATAGTACCATTATCATTTTTATCAATCTCAACTTAATTTGTTAGAGTATTTGCACCCCAAAAAAGAACCATACAGTAAAGCTGATCAATTTTTCAACATAAAAATTTTACCTTTTAAGGCTTCATCGTATTCTATAACCCACTTTATCTCTAGAAATTATTATATAACAAATCCAATATAGTGCAACATATTCAATTTGAGTATCACTTTAGCTTCTAGCTATATTGCCTGGTGATTTATCAATTTTAAAACCACTAAAAGTGCATATCAATTTGTGTATCATTTTGTTCCTAAATATGATGCCCACTATCTTCTAAAAATTTTCCTCCATTCTTTTTGTTTAACTTCAAAGAGGTCTAACCATCAAAGTTATATACAAATAGGAATTAAAAAAATATATCATCATGAAATAAGACATATATTCAAAAGTAGAGGCTAAAGTAAATATATATGGATTAGTTGGCATATCCTATACATATGCGCATTAGTTGACATATCCTATATAAAAATTGTGTTTTCAATTATTAGATTGAAATGGTGGATCAGAGTTCGAGAGTATGCAAGCTAGTAAAGAAGCAATATACAAGTTAAAAATACAAAAGCATAGAAAATTAAATATTATTAAAGTTAATTTTACCTGAACAATTCGGTGCCACTGCTCCTCTTTCTCAAGAACAAGCAATGCCCTTTTCAGCAAGGCTAAAGGAAAATTTTGCTCCCAAGCAACCCATGCATCAAGAGTCCCATAAACAACTTCCTTCGAATCTTTCAGGTCAAGAAGCTACAATTTAAGTATTTTAGCTTCGATACATTGATTCCATAACTTACAAAAACAGCAGCTTCAAAAAAAAAATAGACATTGCATAGCACAATATTCCATGAAAGTAATGCATACTGGAAGGAAGGACATCATATGCTGTTCAAAGGCGACATCAAGATAGCTAGCATAGAATTTTTAATATTGATAAATCAAAACCATTTTATGCTATAAGATAATATATATATATATATATATATGTGTGTGTGTGTGTGTGTGTGTGTGTGTGTAAGGTAGGGGGGTATGGGGGATAATTTATTGAAACCTTTGAGTTAAACTCATCTAGAGCTATTTATTTTTTCTTCTAGGATCAAGACTTCGAATTTTGCAACTTGAGGTAATAATTACCATTTATTAGAGAATAATATCCTTTTTGTTATGGGTGTTTTCCATGATGTTTGTAGTAGGATCCTTAGATATTTTATTAGATTGGTAGTTATATATACCTCTCATATTCAACATGCTCTCATATTCAACATGCTAACATACTTTGTAGTTATATATACCTCTCATATTCCATCGCAGCTGACATCCGACTTCAAGAAACTGAAATCCACAAACCAGTCCCTTACACCTTCGATCTCATCAAGCCTACATAGCCTCTCCCGTCTCCTCCTTGTACACATGAGCCTCAACCTTCCTCCATCTAATGAAGCTGCGCTTGACACCCCAGCTCGCCTTCGCCTAGTTGATCGCTTCTAGCTAGGGCCACATCACGCCGCCCCATTAATAGAGCCAAATCCTACTACCAGACTCCCGCAAATCTCGACCCTCAACCAACTGAACCCTCACCCATTTCCTCTCTACCTCACGATCCGGTCCTTGCTCTTGTCGCTATCAGCACCAATGCGCAACCTCCCAATCCTGACCTCATGTACCAAAGCCCCCAAACATTCGACCTGATCTACCTCACGCCCATCTACCCATTCGAAGACCCAGAGCTACAAGACCACTTCTCCGTCCGTTCTTCCTCACAATAAATAAACTCCACTAGTCCAAACTCCAGACAAAGTCGACACAGGTAACCCATCTCTACTATTAATTATAATTAATTACTATTAATTAACATTAATTATAATTATGTATTGATAATTATAGTTAATTATAGATTGTTATATGTATTTATCATTAATTATAATTAATTAATGTTACGTATAATAAATTAACATTAATTATAATTAATTAATGTTAAGTATAATTAATTATAGTTAACTATAATTGATTATCATTAATTAGAATTAATTACTATTAATTATCATTACTTATAATCAATTAATTTTAATTATAATTAGATATTATTAATTTTGATTAATTATAGTTGATTATCATTAATTATAATTAATAGTCATTAATTGTAATTGATAATTATTGTTATTATTGTTGTTATGAAAATAATAAAAAATAATGAAAAATGAGAAAAATTTCTATCTCGATCCTTATGCAACGTCGTCACCTTCAACACCAACGACACCACCGACACCCCCTCGCCAAGGTATAATCCCTCAAACTTGAAATCATATCCTCGCCATTAGTGGCGCGCCAGGAAACCACCTATGCACACTTTTCTTATCGTGGTAGGAGGGTACCCCATGCGGCACTTTCGTCGAAGAGGGTAGAGGGGATAATTTTAAGTACCCGTGTACGAGCTTTAGCGCCTACGAGAAAAAACTATGCATTTCAAACAGGTGCCTCTAAAGACCCATGCATGCCTTTCTTGGCGCAATGGGATTGACGATTAAGTTGTGGTGTCGCTCGACACCTACCATACACGTTTTTTTTAACGTGCTGGGAAAGCCCAACTCCAAAAATTTGTCTTAAATAGGGGAGACACTGAGATTCTATTGAAATTCAGATTGAAATACACAAAACCAGAACAACAGATGACCTGACTTGATCAACAATATAGGGGACCTGAATGAAACGAAAGGAATAGAATATGAACTGAACAATAAGGAACTGAACCCTAAACTTTAAAATGCACAATAATAAAAAAATAATAATACAAATGCTAAATAACAAGTTCAAGTCACTCAAACAAACATTAATGAACAAGCAGGGAACTCGTGAAAAATAAAATTCCAAGCATTGTTGGTGTACAAATAAAGATCAAGTAATTAATGTGCAATACTCACATCAATAGTACCCTGCAAGCAAAAGGAATAGTGACAAATGCAGCACACTAGCAACCAATAGTAATATGTAAATAAACACATTAAACCTTTCTGCATATGATGTATGTGCAGCAGTTCCCGCGAACATTGAAAGAGATACAAGTGAGCATAGTAACTCGTCAACCAATAAGTGCAACAAAATCAGAGATAAATGCATGTTACTAGTGGTCAACAGTGGCATACATATGAACATGCTCGATATGCAATGATTATAAAAATGTCCTTACAGTCAATGACAATCAAACATCTAGCCAATGCACAGGCTTCCTACAAATGAGTACACAACCCTGCTTGTAATCAATAGCAGCTAGATGACAAACAAGTACCTTAACTTGTTCATGAGCAATCACATCAGATGTAACAACTTGCCTGCAAACAATAAAGTCTCTTGCAAATGCACACAGTACAAAGCACGATGAATTTGAATTCCTGCTAACGTTGATGGAATATTTGTCGTATGCGCAACAATAATAACCAACAACATGTAACGGGTGCTACGACACCCTTGCAGTCAACTAGCATTAAATGTTAGGCGAATGTACTGATTCCCTGCAAGCAAAGACAGATGGTACACAGCAAATGTGAACACCTACAAGCTGTTGCAGTAGGCCCATTGTACATTCAAGATGCTATCTACAAAATGCAGAAGAACTATGATAAATGAAAACAGCTATAAGTTGCATTAGAAGATTTGCATTCAGCACAACTAGCCCACATAAAATAACGGAGAGCTTGTAATGCATACAACAATCCTATCTGCAAGTAATGATGATGAATGTACCGCCAATGTGATGAAACTTCTACAGGCACCAGATAGAATATTGTGGCAAATGTAAATGCTTACTAACAATAATAAAAGTTTTGATGTATGCACAATATATATATTTGTGGGGCAATATTAAGCGATAGACATGAATGCAATAATACCCTATAGTCAACAACCATTCAATAGCAAGCAAATGCTTTGATCCTTCACAAGCAAGATCAAGTGATCAATGTGCAACACTCACACCAGTAGTACCTTGTGAGCAGAAGGTACAGATGTGCATTGAATGACAACTTGCCTGCCAACATGCACATGAAACCACTAATAAATGCAGCTCAATTAGTGGCCTACATCAGCATAGTAACGAACAAACAAAACCTACTGTCAAATAATAATGTTGTCTGCTGACATGTATATACAACATGCAACAAACACCAGTGTGTTCGTCCAGTCAACGACAACTAAACTTTCAGAAAATGCACCGGTATCCTACAAGAAGAAATGATTAAATTGCAATAGAGGCAAACACCTACAAGCCACTGTAAGAGCCTCGCAATATATGCTACATGCTACCCACCAACAAATACAAAAAAAGTTGTACTAAATGTCAACACCGACCAGCAATGGCGATAATAGATATGTTGCGAGTATATTGAGTCCCCTATGAACATAGATATGTATGTAATGTGATATTTGCAAGCAAGGATTAATGATCACAACAAATGCGAAAAAACTACAACCACAACCGCCTAAGAACTGTTGTATAAGACCTTCGCAGTTAACAACCATGCTGAGAAGAAGCACATTCATCTCATATTGGAGTTGAAGGTTTTGTTGAGCAAGTACAACTAAACCCTCCAATTAATAACCTTAGAGGTTCTCATGGTGGCAACTAGGATAAAGAAAGGCAACTTGGTATAAAGAGGAGGTCCAATGATGTGTTACCAGCAGAAGGTCTTAACTGTGACACTAAACATGCAAAGTCGAATGATTCTATAGAGTCAAAAAAGAGCAGTCAAAGAAATATCTCATTCTATCATCTCTTCATAAATACTAAGGCTTCTGAAGAAATGCTGCACTATTTGAATGAAGATCTAGAGATTAAGCCTCATGACCTAACATCTTGCACATGCACCATTAAATGATGCAGTTGTAGATTGAAAAAAGCTGCTCTTGGTCACCATATCAAGGACTAATAGGAGAAAATTTTATCGTTCCATGTGCATATCAGATACCAGAATATCGTTGGGATACTGAAAATTATCCTATACATTGTCCTAATCATGCTTCAAGGAGGCTGCCTTGTGATGAACTAAAAACGAAAATCTAATAATATCTTAGTCGAGCCTTTGGTCTCATCAGATTATGATACCTCATCTATCACAAAATGACCTCATACAACTTGGATGTCCTTATCTAGCCTAAGCAAGGATTGGATGATTTGTGGATTCGATCTCTTGAACGACAATAATATGGATCTTGCATTAGAACAATGACGTATCTCATGGCTACTCTGGATGCAACGCTACGATTCACCTATAAGCAAAAGTAGGGAATCAGTAGTAAAAGAAACCATGGGCCACTGAAGTGCAACGCCGTGCCATCGAATCTACAATACTCATACAAACCGACAGAAGACTTATAAAAACTTCTAAATGGAACGTTGCAAATGATAGTTGCTCGCATAATAAATTAGTGCCAAATATTTTAAAATGCCCTCGTACATGCATTGTAACAGGCATAATAATTCATGTAAACATATTATCCGACATCGCAAGATGCATTATGTTTTAACAGTGCATCATATTTACATGCCAACATATGACACATGCATACAGTCGCAACATATAAAATGCATTATGCAAAATCTCTATTCAGCATGTAAAATGTATTATGCAGTAGTAGCGTGCCCCGCTGGCATGTATATACATTATGCACTACATGCAAACACTAGATTATCATGCAAACATATTATGCGGGCAAATCAACGACGTATATATTCATTATGCTTGCATGTTACGCAAACATGTTGCACGCTATGTTAATGCACCACAACACCGGATCCACGACATTTGTACAAGCAGACAGAAGGTGTCAACAAAACCCAAAATAAAGTCTTACATACTTGTCAGATAGTTGCCTGCATAGCTAGCTACATCCAAAAAATGTAAAATACCCCTCTCATGCATTAAAATGTGCATTCATATGAACCTTATAATATGTGTGCATTTATGATATGCAAAGAGTTTCATTCCATCATATCATTTGACATTGTAAACACAATTCAAAATGACCTACTGCGTGTAGTTGTAGGATGCAGAGATTTTCATCCAAGTGTATCATTTGACATTATAATTGCATTTTAAAATGACTTCCTGTATGTATCATTATGATGCAGGGGGTTTCATTCAATCATGTCATTTGACAATGCGATCATAATTTAAAATAATCTCTTGAATGCATTAGTAGGATACAGGAGGTTGCATTCAAGCATGTCATTTGACATTGCAATTACATTTCAAATTAACCTCCCACATGCATTTGCAATATGCAAAGGGATTCATTCTAATAATATCATGCATACATATAACAATCATATAAATTCATCGTGCAAAATACATTCAATAGTATATACCCGTATAGACCCATAATTACTCAAATGATAGTCATTTTGATAGAAAATCTCACCTGGAGGGGACCACAAACATTTATAATGTCTCGCAAATGCCCATGAAAACTCAAAAAGATCAAAAAAAAATACAAAAACCTAGATATTTAAAATTAATATTAATCATCAAATGCTTAAAGCAAAATACACATCCACCTTCCATAATAATTTGCCGCAGTAGACAAATATGAAAACTACTTCAGCTCACAAATAGCTAATGTCTGATCGAGAATATCACTATGATTCATTCTCAATCTGTCTTTTGCCAGTAAAGATGTGGCACGTGTGCTCTAACAAGTGATTTCACCGTCAAATGGCACCACATCAGTGATTTCGCCGCCAAATGGCACCAAAAATAAACGGTTATGACCGAAACCCTATGAATCGGGTGGTTTTGTCACCAAATGACACCATTATATTACGGTCATGGTCAGAGCTCGTATTCTAATACCCGTTTCTATTTTTCACTAAGCAATGAAGTACAGTTTATTTTTATATTACTAATCTACATCCACTAATATACACATGCATTGGCTGATGGATTCTTTATTACATCCAACGAATGGCACTAAAGGATGGTGGCTTAGTGGATAGCAGGATTTGAGAGTAAATTAGTGGACTTTAGGAGTGAATATTATATTGCTAATGGAATTTCATTCTAATATAAATAAGGCATTTCATTCCACTCATTCCACTCATTCCATTCATTCCACCCACGGTAATCCCTTGGCATTTCCTGGAATCGAAGCAGCTGCTATTGCCGAGAGTAGCGGGCAAAATGAAGAGCGGGGAGTTGGAGAAAGCATGGTTGCAGCACGCTCTTGAGGTATTTGCAAGGAAATTAGGAAGAAAGTTATTTAGGCCTGCAAAATCAATAATTGTATTATCAATAATGGTTGAATTTAATGTGTGCAGAGAATTGCAATGGTGGAAATAAATAAGAATGATTGCTGGAATCTTAAGGGCCGCAATGTTAACAGAAAATAGTGGTTGAGGTGATGAAATGAAGTGTTGGTCGCTCAAATTAGGTAATACTACTGCTGCTATAGTCAATGCAATCAGCTAGTATTAACTGAAATCTGAAATCAACGAGGAAATAGAAGAAGAAAAATTGAAATCAGGTAATACTTATTGGAGATTAGTTGTTGATGTTAAGTATGCAGTTATTTATTGATATTATTGTATATTGTTATTGTTGTTGTTAATTAGGGGTTGTTGTGGTTTAATTGAAAAAGAAAGGAAAGAAAGCAAGGAAAGAAGTTTAGGAGTGTTAAATTGAATGAAGAAAAGTGCAATTGAGGTAATTTGTAAGATATTCATATTGTTGTTTTATCTATTTATAAGCATGTGTAAATAAAAAAAATTATGTTTTAGATGGTGTACAAAAGGAGAAGAAAATAGGACCTAGAAGAACAAATTCCAAGTGAGACGAGATACCAAAATAATGCATAAGAAATAGCTGAAATTTTATATATTTTTAAATTCTTAACTGTTATATTTATGATAGCATTCTAATTTTAATTTATTCATATATAAATTGTTGATTCATTAATTAGTAACTAAAATAATACAATTTATGATTGTTAAAATTGAATAATGTTGGAAAAATGAAATAAGTCATACATGGGGTATAAGCCCGCACAAATAAAGACAAAAAGACCTAATGAGGTAAGTGTACATTCTCAAAATTCTAAAAGTTAAAAATTTGGATCCAACCTTAAATAAGGAGCAGAATCAATTCTAAAAATTGAGAATTCAAACCCAACATTGAATTTGAAAGCTGGAAAGGTGCAAAAATCTATAGTCATTATATAACTTGTATAAATGATAGATTAAAAAACAAAACATAAAGGGATGTTATGAAATTCTTATGACTATTATGAACTTTAAATGTGCTTTAATTTAATTTTCAATATATTGATTACTATTTTTTATACAATGATTGTGGCTTTCATTGAGCTTTAGCTCATTAACAGTAGTTGTATTGTAGGCAAGGGAACGGAGCAGTGGGGTAATAGTCAGGATAGTTGACTATTCTTTTGTGTGCATATACTTTTTTTGTATAAAGAAATCTAAGTAGGAGCTATGCAACCTTTTGGATGTGTAAGTAAATTATTAAAGTTTTAGTAAAGCTCTATATTTATTCTGAGATGTGTAATTTATATGAGGTATATTATATGCTTCATATTGTTAAGTATAAAATTTCATATGTTGGGATATTTTGAATAAGGCTACTTCTCACTCCCTGATTTTGCTAGATGTAATTCAGAATAAGTGCAAGTAAGAAGGTATTTTTAGATTCTCCTTCTTTGTTACACTGCATATTGACTATAAGGGGGATCAAAATAGGGTGTGATACGTATGTTCCTCAACAATGTTAGATCATTGAGTAATGAATCAATACGATATGATCGATAGAGTATAAAATCCTCAGTTAGCTAAAATAGATTCAAATTTATCCCTTTAAACAAATATGCACCTTAGGCTATAAGGTACCTTTGGACGAAGCAAGCCATTGTTCTCAACAAGGATCCTTTTGTCAGGTTGGGTCGATTACCTCCTTTGACTAAGTAGACCAGGGACCACGATGGCTCAGGACGATGTAACCATAGGATCTTGATTGGGCTCATCATCATTTCCCCACCATTCGCTTCAAGTACGAGGTGGGGAAATTTCTATTTTAAATATTAAATTCTAAATACCTAAACCATGATGCTACTATACGCAAGATACTCCCTATCTATTTTGACGACTAACCTTAATCGAAAGTTATTTCTCGTTATCAGGAGGGATAATTAACTATAGGGGCTTACGCCTATAAGAAACTAGAACTCAGATCATAAATTCCTCGCAAAATGAGGGCGAAATCTCTAGATAGTGTCTTATTTAAAATTCAATCTGCCTTCTAAAAATTTACCTCGGAACCTACTTGTTAAAACTCTCCCCGACTACCTGAAAAGAAAGAAAAGGGGGTCCGCAGAAAGGTCGGGGAATGAATTTTCGGAGCCCACACTATTTTCATGCGCATTCCTTTAATTATACACAATAAATCAAATTCATGCTAACCATGTTTTTTTATTATAAGGCTAGCATTAATCGTATTTATTATATAATATATGTTAAATATATGGTTATAATAGATATAAAATATATTTGAATATTTTCAATGGATGTACAGGTCAACAGAATCCTCTTGGATTTAGCTAGCCGATCCAATGAGTCCATAGATGCAGATTTTGGGGATCATTGGATTTCCATGAGTTATCTTCTTGATTCAGGGTGTTAGTAAAACCACTATACATATATATATATATATATGCAAATATAATGGAATTAAAATAAATGATTTGTGGATATCTTTGGATATATATAATTATGTATATGTTAAGTCATGAATATGTTAGCATATAAATGAATTGATAATTGTTTTCATTCGAATATTATATAAATGCATGTAAATCATCTTAAAACATGCCACATATTTTTTGTTTATGCAAAGTAATATTATCCTAATTTGATGATATGATGTCATACATTATACTATTATTATAGTATAAAAAATCTCTTTTATCATTCATAATGCATGCTACATGTCTTGTTATTTACTCTTTTAGCAAATTTTTTTGTTGAATTTGAATGTCAATTTCATTCATGATTAAAAAAAAAATTTAATAGATTTTACCATGCTGCTTAGTGGATCGTCACATTTAAAGCAGAACTTTCAGCATTCATTATATCATCAATTCGGTCTTAAGAGTTTAAGTTGTAGTTCTATTATATATTCGGTTCTATTTGCTTATATAGTTTTTTCTTTCATCTCCTTTCTATTAGATGATATTTTGTTTTCTCTATGAAATTCTTGTTAAAACTCAATTAATGTAATGAATATAATTTATTTTCCCATACTTTGTTTGCATGCTTTTGCTTATAATTATTCGTGATGAAACTTTTCTTATTGAATACAGAACAGCTTTATTTGATCTTGACTTTTGAAGTTTATCATGCAAGTTTTTGAGGTATGCTGGCTTTCAATCCCTAGGTGTGACCAGATGGTCATCAACAAAAGTAATAGATCATTTTGACATAATCTACATTAATTGGTAGTGTATATGGGTCAAAAAACACACTAGTTTCTCAAATTCCAGAAGTTTGGAATTTTAAGGAGCAGAAAAAGGACATGAAAGTTCTTTAAATACTTACTGTGTTGACAAGCAACCTCTTTTTGTCCTCAGCTGAAATTCTTTTCCCTACAGATTGTACATAAACTGCTTTTTTGTTATCCTGTGGTATTTCGTCAACTGCTGGATAATCTGGCTATAAAAGGAGGAACACATTGTCAAAGACATCCAATCCAAACATAGAAAAAGCAATCAAAGCATCTACATCATGTAAAATGATTAATCAACACGTACAAAGCATAACAAGAATAGCATCCAACGTTAGAAATATTATATAACTAAGTTAGCAGCAGATAACATAAGATAAAGCGGAAAGGTTGTCCACCATCAACATTAGACTATATACACACAGAAAAATGAATTTAAAGATCATGACATGCTCTGAATGCAAATTTTCTAACATATTGCACATTTTAAAAATATTTATAGCAGTAGAGATACAAGTATGATAAAAATATCAAATAAATATCGAAACAAATAAAATAAAATTGTTTTATGAATATTTGAACATCACCATATCCCATTAAAAATAGTAGTAAAGTTACATGTTTAAATTATTAGCAGAAATAAAATTAATTTGGTTTGGTGAAAGTTTGAACATGATAAAAAATTTAATAAAGACATTTAAACAAGATAAAAGCTCCACTTGAACTCAATTTAAAAATCAATGAATGAGCGGAAACAAGATAGTAATCAACCAGACTAGATTCATTTATAGCTCTACTCGCCTCGCCAAAGCACTTACACAAATATTATTCATAGTAAATCACCATGATCATATTACAAATATGTTCTTATAACATTAAACAAGGTACCTTATAAGTACAAGTAACTTAGGGGTTATATGATTTCATGCATTTAAAATGCAACAAAGTGCCCATTAACAAGGCAATATCTATCAGCATATGGTTTGGAATTTACTATAGGTGTGATTCTATCCCTGTTGATAGGTACATTTTGTATTTGTTTAACTGAAGTTTTAACATGTTTTGGAAAAAATAAATCTAAAAGACCAACTTTTGGAATTTATCATGCTCATAACTTTCAAAAAAAGCGCCATAAAAATTTTCATGCAAGCTTTTTGATGTTGAGGGTGAAAGCACCGCATAGCTTTAGTTAACAACGGTACACGCAACTGATAACTAATAGCTTGGTTGGAAATTAGTGAAAACAAATGTTCTTAGACAAACAACCTACAAATAGTGGTATAGGAAACTTATCAAATATTCCATAGCAATAAAATTTGATTGTCTCGCTTTTTGATGCAATGGATAGTTATTTAGATAATAACTATAGTGGGTGATCATTTAGATGATAACCTTTTCTGATTGTATACAAAACAACCCCACAAAAGTATGTAGTACATGCATCATAGTGGTAAAAATGATGACAACTCATAGCCTTTTTTGTAAGAAATTATGCTTCATAAGTGTGAGAACCATACTGGCTTGAACCGGTTAGTTATTAAACAGAGAGTCGCGAACAGAACAAAGTGCGGAAATGAACAGCGCCTGGAGCAAACCGAACTAATGCGCGAAAGGATTTGGAGAGTTCATTTTGCTATTTTGAACGAACGATTGCATTTGGGGATAAGATTTACCAACTTCTTTTCTTTTATATCGCTAAAGAAGTGGAGTTCGAAGAAACGACAATGAATGAGAAGAACGGCAAGGAGAAAGGAGGAAGAAGGTTTGTTTTCCATTTTTGTATAAAGTTTTTCCTATTTCTTCATCTAATCAGAGAGAGATATTTATTAATTAAAGGTAAAGAAAGAGATTGAAAGCAGAAGGAAGAAATTTGGAGAGAAAGAAGAAAGAATTTGGAAATTTTCTTTTGAAGTTTCATTGATTCTCCACTATAGAAATAATGAGTAAGTGTTTAAACTATTAATTAAGTTTGATTTTAGATAAGAATTTCTATTCTTATTTTCAAATTGAAGAAATTATTGTTGTAGGAAGAATTGAATTACAACAAGTTAGACAGTAAAAGAAGGAAATTTGGCAAGGAAGGGAAACTATTGTGAGGTAATTTTATATGGAAGAAATCAAATGTTTGTTGAGTCATTCAAATTGGGATTTAATATTAATTAGAATATTATGTTATTGTGAATAGTTAAAAGTTCTCAATACAAGACGAATATTGAAAGAGAAAATTAAAGTGGGTAAATGATGTTATTTTAATATTTTCATTATTCTATTTTATTCATACAGTCTTCTAATTATTTGATTATTTGCAAAAATTACAAAACGTTTAAGGTATAAATATTTCATGATTATACGGTTTTCAGATTACTGCATCAATTACAAATGTTTGAAAGTTTCATTAAAGTGAAAGGTATACTTATATATATGTATATGTAAGATGAAATGTATGAATAATAGTATATACTCGGGAAATGGAAAAAAAAAAAGAAACAGAAAAAAATATATATTGAAATAAAAGAGATATAAATATAAAAAGAAAAATGATATGTATCAAATTACAGGAGTCACACTCGTATGATACTAGTTGGGGAAGTAACGTACCTGTTCACGTTAAATAAAAATGAAAAAGAAAATGAAAATGGTTGTATCTTTATTGGTACATTTTAGACAGTGCTCCTGTACAAATTAAATTGGAAAAAGGTTTATGATGAAAATGTATGTAAATTGGAAAAGAAAATAGTTTTGAATTTTTATAACGAAAACATATATAGAAGATATAAAAGAAAGAATGAATGAAAGTAACAAAAATATGAAGTATAATAAATATTATATAATATGAAGTATACTTTTTTTTTTTAATAATATGAAGTATACTTAATGTTATATAAATGTTTACATAAATTTTTATATTTTATAAGAAATGAGGAAAAATAATTTTCATTGTATTTTGTATATATTTAAATGTTGTATATGTAGAAAGGTTACCCACTAAATTTATATTGTAAACTTAATCCATTAAACTAATATTTCAGGTAATTCTCCAGAAAAATAAAAATGACTGATAAAGGAGAGGAATACGTCTATAGAAGACGGTGCACAAATGCAAACAGGTAATATATGATTAATGAAATGATTTTAGTTAAGTGGTATCAATAGCTTATCAAAATGTTGTAATAGTGGCTCCTCAGAATTTTGAGAAGTTGTATGTTAATTTGCTTATATAATTTAATGAAATATTTCAATTGTCCGACTGTTTGTCTTTGCCTCGTTAGTTCGAGTCTCTGGGCCGGATCATGACAATAAGGGAACTTAATTTCATTATGACCAAAAGCATAAAAATCAGACCCTGCAACAGATATGGCATTTGAATGCATATTCTTAAACAAGATAAGCCATAGAAGATTTCATTAGTAGAATTCAATTGAACATTTGAGTAAAAGTGAAGTTGCATCACTAACTTATGGCATAAACCAAATATGTAAGATAAGAAAACTAAATCTCATCTTGCCTTCGGCTTGCGGGCTCTTTGTGCTTGGCCTTGTGAAATCAAATCATCAAAAGAAATTCTTGTTTGAGTATCTGCAGCTTTGGTCACATAATTACTCCGATAAAAGCTTGCGCCGAGCTACATAATAACAAACTTAATTGGATAGATCGATGTGCAAAAACCTAAAAGTTTTCGGGTAATAGCAACATGAACACGATGATGTTATTGGAGCCATACCATAACATCCTGCCTCCATTTCCTGAAGAAGAAATATGTTTAAACACAGATCAGCTCAGCTATCTTGGAGCCAAACAAAAATGAGAAGATTTTGGTTTCTCTAAGGGTGAACAATACCAGCCAAATAGAATTTTTTATGACGCTTATAAACTAGACAAACAGGTGACATGGCAATCACTTGATGCAAAATTAAATAGAGAATCAACAAAACAATTAATTTAGTGAAGTTTCAGATGAGTCTTCTAGCTTAAAAATTATGCCAAAAGAATGCATATAACTAACAGTGACATTTCAGACCAGCCTGCTGATTTGCTGTTTACACATAGAGGTTGAATAAAGTTAATACTCCTAACTTCCAATAATCCCATTTTTTCAATTATATGGAACCTAAAAATGCTCTCGCTAACATAGGTTCTTAAAATCATATCATTTAATTCAAAATAAAGATAATCCTAAACATTAAATCAAATGAAACTGAAGTAAAATCCTAAAACAATGAAAATGATAGAATATTCAAGAAATTATATTCTAGAATTCTACCTCCAAGGCCAACCTGTACTTGTTGCTACATAAGAAAAGAAAGATGGCAAAGAAAATGCATATTTGGTAGAAGCTAGTAGCAGGGTTTACGTGAAAGTGCAAAAAAGGACTAAGATGACTGAGATAGTATTAGAATTAGCAAAAGGTGATCAGATAAGATGGCTGAGATAGTATTAGAATTAGTAGATAAGATGGTTTGGGAAGTGATCAGATAAGATGGCTGAGATAGGATTAGAATTACCAGAAGGTGCGCATTATCAGGAATAGAACCACTACGACTTACCCTGTTTAATATATAATTTTTTATAGGTGAAAGCATTCAACCTTAACCAAAAGACTACCCCATCTGAAATTAATAGACATTCAAGATACTTGTTGCCCAAAGAAATATAGAGCTGCTCAAAAGATTAAGGCTATTCCTCAATTATAGCATTCATGCTGCTCCGAGAATAATACTATTTCTTCAGATTCTAACTTGAAAAGTGATTCGCATATGATCAGCTTAAGTAGCCTAATGATGCAGACACACTACCAGCCTTCTTTTACCTAAGCATCAACTTGCCTATGTTTAGCAATTCATTGTTTTTGTTGTTGTTGTTTTTTTTTTAACTGTCTAATGTAATTTTAATAGGAAAGAATTAGGTGAGGCTATTTTGATAACCAATTTTTCAAGATAGACTTTAAAATCCATAAGTTTACTTTGAGATAAGTGTTATGCAGGAGCAAGTTGATTATTTATGTATAACACTCAAATAAAAGCAAATTCAAATATTTTGATTTCTATCCGACCAACTTCTCATCAATATATCCAGACCCATTTTTTCCTCCATTTTGAGGTGAAAGGACTAAACAATGGAACGTCTTACCACATGTTGTGCAACGTTTTGACTGTTTCAAACATCAAAAACACATTTTCGGAGAAGCTCATCCATCTCAACAGATGGTAGTGGCCACACCGCACATATAACCAAAGAAAAAACCTAATATAGGATAATGAAAAGTATTAATTCATTGAGACAAACGATGCCAGCATTGCCAGCAGTAGTAGTATACTACAATTCCACTTTTTGGAAACCATAATGAGAAAACCATAACCGTTTTCTAAGAAAATACTCATTTTATAGGGCAAATATATCGGAAGTCATCTCTCCTTAACTAATTAAAAAACCAAACTGCGAACGCCCATATGTTCTCGAAAGCTTGAGGAGCTGCTTAACCAAAACTTTGGCTATTATTAGTGCTCTACGGAACGGTAAAAGCCTAAACCTCCACACCAAAGCCAACCCCACCCAAACAAAGATAGATAGCTCCTTGCATACTGATGCGATCAAAAAATATAGGGGGACCTATATTCTTCGATCACAAAAAACACGACGGACTTCTACGCACGAAAATGACTAAAGACGAGAAAATGGACGAACAAACTCTTACATTTCAAATTAAACTAAACAAAAGAAAACTTACAACAATACAAACGACTCTTGCAAACAAAATGACGACACCCTAAAGTTGCTGCACTTGGAGAAGAAGGATACAGGTAGAGTGGCACTTGCGGAAATACGAAAGAGGTTAGAAGCCCGAGAAGAAAGGTTGGAAAGAGCCCGCAGGAATTCCAGAGTGGATGAGAAAGAAGGGTGGAAAGAGCCCGCAGGATTTCCAAAGCAAACCCGCAGGTTAAAGCTTCCAAAAATAACTTATCATTCAACTATTTCAAACAATACATAACCCCTCATATTTATAGGTATGAAAGGGGAATACAAAAGGACACAAACATTAATTCTAAGACATAAAACTAAGCATTACAAGCATGGGAATCTCCCCCCCAAGCTCTCGGTTAAACACCCAAACCAGGAACCAAGGAGACAGCCACGGGAGACGAGGGGAACCGCACGGACCTGCGCCCCTGCGCGCCAGAGTTCACGCGCCCGAGAACCTACGTCTATGCCTCCGCGTTCCGCCCGCCTGCGTTCCGTGTCGGGTCGGGTCAACCAGGCAACCCGACAGGTTAGGTCCAGGTCCGATTTTCCGACCGGTTTACCTACCCGGGTCAGGTTAGGGTCGACCCAATTGAACTCAGATCAATTCCGAGTTCGACCCGACCTGTGACCTGAAATTAACACCCCTAGTTAGAACTCACGTGATAGTTGGCTTTATTATATTATCATTGAAATGATTGGTCTAAACTATTTTAAATAAAAAAATCACTCAAATCTAATTATATTTTAAAATACATTGACTCATTTCTAATTAAATTTTATTTCTTAACTTAAAAAAGAATATTCTTTGTATATTCTTACTCCAACCCAAAAAAAATGATATTTTTGTATAATGTAACGTTCACATCGCAAGAATGGCGCAGGTTTTTGCATGCGACTAGAGAAGCTCGCAGTCGACAAATGCTAATTTATCATTCAATTGGAGATGACCTAAGTATATGAGACATTAAATTGCATATAGTTAATTCATATAGCTCCAAATAAAAATTCTAATACTATAAATAACATCAAAATGTATAACATTCAAAGTAAATCACAAAAGGTGTTGGGCAGGCCAAAGGAATCGTACGAAAGTTATATTTGAGACAACTTTCTTACTACTTTCTAAAATAAATTTTTAATACAAAACTTTTTTTTAAACTAAAAGAATTTTATATAAGAAATGAGCATTATAAAAAAGGAAAGAAAATTGTTCAAAACAAAGCCTTAGTCAACCAGCCACATGATTGACTCGAAAATTAATAATAACAATGAAGTGGTTATAATTAATTAAATCTAAAGAGTTATGTATATTCCACTTTCCATCAAGAATAATAGAGCCCAACAAAAAATTGATGGAAAAGTTCTTAGTGGTGAGATAAGGAGTGTTGATTCTTGTTGAATCAAGATTAGGTTGTTGAATCTAAACTAATGTCTCAAGGTTAACCAAGAGGGGGGTGAATTGATAATTTAAAAATTCTCTTGAATTTTAAAATTTGAAACTGTTGATTTACAAAGCAAGTTAATTTTAAAGTTTTAAAATAAAACTTTTCAATCACAAAAAATAACTTGCAGTAAATAAAATGCAGAAATTTAAAAGACAAGAATTTATAGTGGTTCGGTCAAACACGACCTACATTCACTTCCTGAAGACTCCCTCTTCATGTATTGAACTATTACCAAAGTGACTCTCCTTTTTCCCCCACAGCAAGGCAAAGAAGCCTTTAAAAAAATCTCTCTTCCACCAATCCCTGGTGCGGCAGTCGTCCTTTCACACTCTCCAAGTGTCGGTAGAGAACCGTCATCATTTCACACCCTCTAAGTGTAGGAAAAGAATCTTCATCATTTCACACACTCCAAGTGTAGGCATAGTACATTCGTCCTTTCACTCCCTCCAAGTGTAGGTAGAGTACCTTTATCTTTTCACACCCTCCAAGTGTAGGCAGAGTACCTTCGTCCTTTCACACCTTCCAAGTGTCGGCAGAGTACCGGATCTTTTCCAAAGATCTTCTCACGAGCAATCTAGAAAGATAAGAGGAAGAGTGATAACCACAAATACAAAGAGATCTTTACCTTTGAGTAACCTTGTGAACCCTTCATACTCCACTTGCAATAAATCTCTCTTAAATACTCTCTCACACTCTCTCCTTCAGTTGCCCTTGAAAAATCATGAAGACATGACATTTTCATGTCAGTTTTTAGTGGATCTTTTATACAAAAGACACAAAAAACAATTAAAAAAACTGAAGTTTTCGATTTTCAGCGTACACGGTCGTACAGTACGATCGAATTTCATACTTACGAACAGTTCAAATACTGTTGCGTACGAACCTGTTGTGAATCGGTACGAAATCATTTCGTACCCGATCATTGTCTGGTATGAACTATGTTCATCCGGGACATACAGTTAGGGAAATTTTCAAATTCATCTGTACGAAGAGGGACCCCAAAATTTCGTACTCTGTATGGCGTACATATGATGAAATCATTGCCCGGTACGATCAGTTATAAAAAAAATTCAAATTTCATCTAAATGAAACGTCGGGATTAAATGGGACCTCACAATTTCATACTCTGGAAGGAGTACCTTTATCTTTTCACACCCTCCAAGTATAGGCAGAGTACCTTCGTCCTTTCACACCCTCCAAGTGTCGGCAGAGTACCGGAACTTCTCCAAAGATCTTCTCACGAGCAATCTAGAAAGATAAGAGGAAGAGTGATAACCACAAATACAAAGAGATCTTTACCTTTGAGTAATCTTGTGAACCCTTCATACTCCACTTGCAATAAATCTCTCTCAAATACTCTCTCACACTCTCTCCTTCAGTTGCCCTTGAAAAATCATGAAGACATGACATTTTCATGTCAGTTTTTAGTGGATCTTTTATACAAAAGACACAAAAAACAATTAAAAAAACTGAAGTTTTCGATTTTCAGCGTACACGGTCGTACAGTACGATCGGATTTCATACTTACGAACAGTTCAAATACTGTTGCGTACAAACCTGTTGTGAATCGGTACGAAATCATTTCGTACCCGATCATTGTCTGGTATGAACTATGTTCATCCAGGACATACAGTTAGGGAAATTTTCAAATTCGTCTGTACGAAGAGGGACC